GGGGGGGGGGGGGGCGGGGACAGATGACACTTCTGCAATGAAATAAGAAATCCCAGTGACAGAACACAGGAAATGGATCCTTTTCCCTGGAGGAGGATGTTTAGATATGAGAAAAACATTCCTGAAATTACACGTAGCTGCCTTCTTAGAATCACTCACTGCTGGTTACATAAAGTGCTCGATCTGAGCGAACACATTTTTTTGACATGACCCAGATTTTAGGGAGAGCGTCACAGTTCTGCTGCAGAGTTGCGGCCGAGCTGTCAATTGTAGTTCCACAACTATGTGCAGACCTTTTACCCCTGCAGGCATGCGAGGCTGTGCTGTTGCTTGTAGTCCTCCAGGCAAGTGTTGTCTTCCTTACTTGCACTAGTCTGAAAGCTTTAGGCGTCAGCCGCCCTCTCCTGACTATTATGCAGCTTCTCAGTCAATCAGTGCTGTCAGCTGGTGGCCAATCCTGTGGTTCCTCCCTCTTGCACACTCCATTTAAACCCAAAGCAGTACACGGCCCAAGCTAGATGCCAGGGCCCATGTTTGCTGTTGAAGCTCAAGTCCTTGTAGTTCACTTGTGTACCGAACTCTGGATTATCCTTGGAAATCCCTGCCTACAGTTTGCCCTGTGCTTCGCTTTGGCCTTGGAAATCCTTATCTACAGTCTACTCCTACCTTTGGATCATTCCTGGAAGTCCTAGTCTTCAGCCTGTCCCTAGCCTTTGAGTCGTACCCTGTACCCGTGTCCACATCCCATCCTGAAGTCTTCGGCAGCTGCTAGCTGAGTTGAGCTGTAGTGCTGAATGAGGCAATGGAAGTCAGGTCACGAACCTGGGGATCGTGACCTGGGATCAGCACGCAGCCAAGCCCATCTCCACCATCAGGAGCTCTGGTGAACCTTAGACGCCACATGCTGGGGACCCCATGCTACCTACGTAGCATAGCAGCACCGTGCCTTGAACTTCCAGATTAACTCGACTTCCACGTGCCTCAGTAAGCTCCATTCCCTGCTAGTACTCCAGCTCTGGGAGTTGACAGCTATAACGCTTGCACCCTTTGATCTAGGTGTCCCTGTCAGTGTAGCGGGTCCACATTCCCAATCACATCTGTGAGCCCCGTTTATGACAAAGTTTGGAATTTTTATATGTCTATTGCAGTTGTGTCAAATATAGTAGAGTATGACCAGCAGTCCCTTTTCTCCCCTCCGCAGCATCAGCCACCCATCCCCCAATCAGTCCTCCACAGTGTTAAGAGGAGCCATCAAGCCCAGACTGGATGTGGGTGTAGACGTTGCTGCATGCAGCCATTACCTCAGAATAAAGCTATGCAACAGACCTGCAAATATTTGCATTCGGCCTGAAGCGCGACATCCTGGTTATTCAATGACAGAACAGGCAGGATGGTGTATCAGAGCGCCAATTATACGGTCATTTGCAAACAGCTCACATCTGTTTAAGGACTGACAAATCCATAAACAGCGGAAGGACACTGTAGGCAGTCGCAGACCTCACTCTGGATGACAGATTAAGGTCCACCAGCAAGGCTGGATTTCCACAGCCATCAGCGATTGACATCCCAATACAGTGTATTATGAATGATCGATCTTGTTGGATCATACAAACATACCCGTGCCTACCCTACCCTTGAAGGCCATTTTATGAATAGCAGTGTAAAAGGTTGTCATGGCAACCAGTCAAATCCCATCTTCATTTTCCCAGTGCCGGTTAGACTGGTTGCTATAGCAACAAACCAGTTTTCACAATCTACCTCAGAATATTCATTTTAGACTACAATCCATTGACCTAATCAAAGCCAAGAGCACAATGTAAAGTAACCCATAGCAACAGCTCAGTCTATTTTACCAATCTGATCGACTGCTTATAGGTTGGGGCACATTGACCAGTTGCTCTGTACAAGGCCTCATTAAACCAGTAAGGGATCCACCAAGACAACCTCACTATTTTAGAGTAACCTTTCTTGAGAAAAGCATGGGTGCTGCCACTGCTGACCAATTCTACAAATACTGATTGCCTAGCTGTAATGCCTCCACAGTTCAAGTCACTGACCCAGAACAAGTGTGGGGATAAAGATTTTGTACTGCACTATGGTTTTCCTGACCTGCATGCTTGCTTCGGGTGAGCAGATCAAAGCTTTGAAGTGGTTCCGCCTAAGAAGAGTTGCAATTTCAAGCCAGCACTGGAAGCCCCTCCATCGTTTCTAAAGCAAGGTTTACCTTGACCCAAATTATATACAAAATCTGAAATTCTTGCTGGGTCTGGGAATCTGGAATTGCACCGATATAGTAGGCGCTCACAAGGCTAAGCCACTCATTCGACTCGACGTGGCATTTAATGGAGGCCTTCGATTGCCCCATGATGCGTTAATGATCCATCTTCCGTGCTAACCTTTGCTATTCCAACATGTTCAGAAGACTGCACGTGTCCCCCTCCACAAAAAAACTTTGGACAACACTTGATTTTGTTTGCGATATATCAGCAAGGCAATTGAAAGCTGGGTCTGTTTAGAAGTTCATGTTGGAACAGTTTACTACTATGGACAGACTGTAGCTTTGATGGCATAGTTGAAGCATCTGAACAAACTATTTTTTACTTAGAGCAACCACATCCCATCAATCCTAGTGAAGAATGAAGGAGAGAATCCATAGTCAGAGGGTCTCAGATGTGAAGCACACCTGTAATGTGTGGAGAACCTTTATCTTTAGATCTTGGGCAGGTCAACAAAAAGTGAATTAGGCTTTTCTATGTGGGTGTGAAACTGTGCCCTCATTTTCCACCCAATGATGTGGCAACATGCACCAATTATGTTCATTAGAGGGATGACTGGAGTCCTGATGCAGATGACATCCAATGATGCTGTCATAGTAAGCACAAGACTGCAGAATCGTCAGAGATAGATGGTACATACCCATGTCATGGCAGCCCTATATCCCCCCTCTGTGCCTCTGCCTAGGGATCTTCACCTTTACCATTCTAGGTATTGACACATGTGGCCCTGAGTGCATTATTTTGCAAACCCCAAAAGATAGGGGGTCATCCTCAATGTCTGTTGGGACAGTAAACTTTGATGATTTGTGGACCAAGAGCGTAGTACATCGCCCTCACGTAATCCTGATATAAGCATGGAGAATACGAATCAAAACTAATGTCACAAATATGCTCTCTTCAGGCCTATAAAATGCTGGATGCCACCAAGCAAATGTAGACGATTTCTCTGAGATGACCACATGCTGATTCCCAGGTGGTGACTTCCATGGTCCCCGTTCAGCTCATTTTCCCTTTGCTTTTTCGGCATTCAGCGGATTGATTTGTTCCCCCAAGTGCACTAGGTCTTGTGTACCCCACGTCAGTATTTGCATATAATAGACTCCTTTTAAATTATTTTATGGATATTTTTCCACATCATATTTGAAGCCATCAATCTCTTCCTCTGATTACCACAAACCAATCCACTTCACAACAAAGATCGGGATAGAGCTTTTCTTAGACATTAACTGTTACAAAGTATTTGAGGTTGAATAAAGACATTAGTCCATCAAGTCCAACCTATTTGCCGCATACATCTTCTCCGGGTTGGCAAACTGCATCTCCCACCAACGTACATCCGGGACGCCCACGGTGAGATCACTGCACTACAGTCGCAACTTGTCACTGCCACTTGAAGGGATTTTACTTGCCCCAAGTGGATTTATATAGATTTCACACTATACAGGATGAATCAGCAAGAGCCCATGGTAGGAGGTAGGACAAAGCCTAGAATTTCCATCTTAGAGACTTGGGTACTCAAGACACAATCCACTGGGTAAAATACTAGCTTCTCCAGGGCTGGAGAATTCCTAGGAGCCGGGTAGTCGTTGCTCCTTAAAAGTTACAGCTGGCACCTAACTTTTGAAGTTCTCACTGGAGCTGGCGCCTGGACTGGACAGGTCTGGCCCCTGGACTGGATAAGTCTGGCCCCCGGATTCCATATTTATTTGCCCACACCAGACCTTCCATTATTGTAGAATGCATGCCACAACTTCCACTGGATGTAAAATGTAGACTAATACCATCCATACATTATAAAAGCAGGTTGTATATGTGTATAGAACTCTCATGCTACAAATGCCGCATAAAACGTATGTGAAACGTTGGCACAGCGCCCACCACTCATCCATGGTTGGCAGAACACATCCCAATCTTGTAGAGTGCTTCTTTCAGGTAGTGTGTGTGTATATATGCGTGTATACTGTATCTCTCAAGCAGACCAGCAGTTAAGTAGCTTCACGCCTGCCCTGTCACTCTGCAGTGACACAAGTCCAACTCATTCTTGCTCCATATGAGTCACCTGACACCGGTGCGGCCAGATCCGGCTGGCGGGGGTGGGGGGTGTGCCGGGTGAGGCCGCCTGGTGTATGATTAAGGACACGTCTGCTGCATCATAAAACTCTTCTCCTGTGCTATTAAAAAGCAAGACCAGCCCAGGTTTAATTGGCCAAAAACAAGAGCTGCAGCCCTTCTCTCTGCCATGGCACTGGGCCAGGTACCCTTCTCGCCCTCCGGGATCCCCCACTACACGGCCTCATATTAAAATCATAGATTTTCTATATTTTTCCTCCTCATCTGACATTTCAGTGAATGGACAATGGCAGCGTCTGAGTGAGGCAGAAAACACCTACCACACCCAGCTGCATTGCTGAGGGAAGAGGCGTCATTGCATTGCTGTACGCTGCCAGGCACAACCCCCTCTTGCTGGGAAGAAGGACAGAGCCGTGTCTGTGTTATGATGGGGGGGGGGAAGGGGCGCATAGCTGAATTCACACCACAGAACATAAGTCTGAGCCGTCATTACCCAGTAAAGCAGCAGCTATGTGCAGCAAGGATCACACCAGTATAACCTGTTGCTAAAAATTATACTAACCAGTCATGCCTGTGCATTATCGGCCGAGCAGGCTTTACATGGGGACGGGATTACCATAGCACAGACCACTGTATACAGGATATTGATTACCAATTCCCAGTGTAATCATCAAGAATATCCCCCACTATGGGGGGAGGTAACCTATAGTACAGCACCTACGCTGGAGACACTGATGAATACACAGACGTCACGTCTGATAATATACATGGCTGACTTCCAATGTCACATATGAATAACCGCAGAGCATAATACTGAATTACAAATCTCTGTTTGGGGGGAGGGGAGGAACCATCATGGAAGCCACATAACATGGCACTGGATAGGCATGCAGATGCCAAATCTATCATCCTCCCATTACATACAACTGACATAGAAGTGACACAACCGCACCCCCCACCCCCCAAAAACGCGCCAACATACTCCCTGTAGTTTTACAGAGAACACTAACCCTCACTCCCGTAACTGAGAATGCATCAGCCACCATTATATAGCACCGACATATTCCAGGGCGCCGTACAGAGACCACTAACCCGCTGCCATAGGTTTATCTATAGGAGAGCTGTACAGAGCCTTCTGTCAAAAGAGCAAACCGATTTGCATAACCAACCACATAGTACAATACCAAGATGGGGAGCAATGACAGCTGTATCCTCCATTAACAGTGCAGGAATGATACAATGTATCCAGATCCCCCTCCCCCCAGGTGTGAGGCGATACAACATATCCAGATCCCCCCCTCTTCCAGATGTGATACAATGTATCCAGAATTCCCCCCCAATATGAGGTGTAGGGCCCTCCTCTCCCTCTCTCACCTTGGCCCCAATCTGGTTGCCGCACTGGCCTGCCTGCAGGTGGACGATCTCCCTCATGATTGCAGCAGCCATCTTTGAAATGGGCTGAAGAAGTCGTCCATCTTAGTTAAGGAAGGGAAGAAGGGCATATCGGCCATTTTCCTTTGTGTCACAAGAGGGGTCTTAATCTACCTGGCATTAAAAGGAACAGCTCATAGGAGTTCTTTGGTCACATATTAGTGTCCCCAGCCGCCTGGTGTTACAGTGCGTGCGCGTAGCCAACGAAACGGGGAGTGGCTGTGGGCGGGGGATAGACAGGGGCGTGGTTTTAAAGTGAGGGAAGGGGAAAAAAGGCGGGATTCTGTGTGAGATGGGTGTGGGCGCGGCCATTTTGTGGCGCGGTTCTGTCAGGTCGCACAGGCCTCACCTGACACTGGGCTGTATCTTCACCTCAGGTATGCGGCTTAGTGACATCACCTCTACTCTACAAAAGTATATTCACGTTTTTGTTTACCGTGAGGTGATTATTAAAATCAGTACTATATATCTTAATACGTATTGAAGAGCAGAACCTAAAGCCCAATTCCAGCCAAACTTTTCCGTGGTGCTTTTTGTGGCCGATGGAATTGACTGAATTTGTGGCGGATGGGAACCTCTTAGCTGCTGCGTTTTTGTGCCCATTGAATTGACAGAATGTCATAGGGTCCATGTATAAGTTCACGATGTGTGCAAAAACTCAGAACATGCGTGCGTTGCCATTACTAGGTCATGGGCGTGAGGACGTGCACAAATGCACAGGAAAAATGAGGAATGCATGTTGCCAAATTTGCAACATGTATGACTTTTTCGCTTTTGGGGCGCATCCAAGGCCCTAATGGGGACACGCACCAAACACGGGAAACAAAGCCCACACAAACGTGCGAGAATGCATGTGTCCGCGACGCTCGTTCCCTCCCGCTACGCCCTGATGTGGCCTTAGGGTCAATTCACATTGCAGCAAACCCCTTTCACACAATCCAATGCATCGCATGCTAAGATGGAAAATGTAATGCATGCAGTAAACGCACGGATACAGTGCCTTTAGGGCAAAGTCTGCAATGTGTAGGGCCGGCCTTAGGGGTGTGCGAGCCGTGCGGCCGCACAGGGCGCCATGGCAACAAGGGCGCCGTGCTTGAAATGAACGAAAACTAAAAAAGTTTTCATTTGTTTCATCAAACAAAACTCATTTATATGCTATTTTGTATTCAGCCACTGGTGTGTTCTGGAGGCAGGGTGCATGACGTCATATAACACCGCACGTGTTGGGCGCCGCCATCTTGGTGTTTATCTAGGTATACACCAAGATGGTGGGGCCAATATCGGCGTGTGAGGTCACCTGACGCCACACATGCATGGCGTCATGTAACGTCATGCTCCCTGCCTCCGAGATGGTGGCACGCATTCACAGAACACGCCGGTGGCCAACATGGCCGCCGCACATTCTCAAACAAATTATTATTATTATGTGTCTGAATACAATACAGACCCCTGGCTTCATTTACATGTAGCCCGGGGTCTGTGTTCTGTTTTTTATTTTTACTTTTCTAGATGCACTTACTTGAAAAAAGGGGTCAGCATGACGACCTGACACTTTATTTTTATAGACTCTATTGTATTTTGACATTTATTGTTTACCTTCTGTTGTTTTATTTGATAAGAATACTTCTATTGTGCCTACAAGTTTAATACCTTTGAATAAAAGTTTTATTTTTATCACACTTTTTAATATGTTTCTTTGCGGCTTAACAAAATAGGAGTCTTTAAATGGTGCATATATTGGGGGAAATGGGTGTGGTTACGGGGGCGTGGCCACTAAAGGGTGTGGCCACTGAGGGGCGCTGTAAAGCTTTCTCGCACAGGGCGCCTAAAGGCCTAAGGCCGGCCCTGGCAGTGTGAATGGACCACTTAGGACCTATTCACACCAGATCCAGACCAGAAAGTTTTTTTCAGCTGGTCCAACTTCCATTCATTCCTATGGTAAAAGATTGAGGCAAGTTCACACCATTTTGTTCAGTGCAGTAAAAAAAAAAAATAGCACTATTTTTTTCTGGTCTGGAACGCACCGAAACACATGCAAACATACCGGAAATTAAATTGAGACTAATAAAAAAAATGCATCGGAACTTATCCAAAACACACATACCCATGTTTCCAGAGACGCACACAGATCTGGTCTGTGAAGAAGCCCTGAGGGTCTGTACATTAGTCTGAACTCTCTGTTATTTCTCAGAATATTTAGGCAATTCTTCATATTCTGAGATATTACCACAAAGTTGTAACGCATTGGGCTGCTTGGCGCACGCATCTATGGTTGCCAGTTGTCTGTTTCCCTCGGGACAGTCCCTGTTTTTAGGGTCTGTGGTCAGTAGGGCGGGGGGTAAGATCTGTACTAGGGGTGATTTAAAGGGGGGGAATCATACTGGGAGGAAGGGGGAGTTTTGGTTCTATGCTGGCCTGTAGGTTACCTCTCTGGGAGGTGCGGGTGGGTGCCAGGCTCTCTGGGCGGTGAGGCTAGGTGTCCAATTCTCTAGGGGGTAAGGGTGAGAGCCAGGCACTCTGGGGG